AACCATTCAAAATATTCCGCAAGATTAATGGGGGATCATGGTATGGTAGCCCAGGGCATTCACGCATTCACACTATTTGTAAAAGCCGCCAGACGCTTCTTGATAATAGGATTTCCAATGCAAGATAAATCCTTGCCTACTGCTTCAGGTCAAAGATGACCTTTACATGTACTCCTTGATTGCCTTGTACATGTACATGTACAGGTGCGTGTACTCCCTAGGCATAAAAATGTTTCCTGATTCCTGTACATTTACATGTACACTGACACCAAAACAGGGGGAGAGAGTATCACTGAACTAGCAGGAGTAGAGCAAGGCATTATGGGACAGGCAAGTGGAGGATGTGGCAGAATGGGATGGGCAGGGCGGGATACCAGTAGGACAAAGCTTGGGCATGTACAGTCTACCTGTGAATAAAGGTGTATACAAGTACAGTATACATGTGTACTAGACCATGTACAGTACAATGTACTGGTAGAGCGTACATGTGCACAGTCCTTGAAAAGGGAATGATAGGGCCTACATGTACATGTACGTCATCTCTACAATTGAAAATTAAACCTGGGAAAACAACAGCAAAAAAAGGGAAAAGAATTTGCATTTGCATTCAAAGGCGATCTTCACATTTTGACATCTACTTTTCCCCTCTGTGAATTTGCAGTAAATCCAGTGTGAAAATATGCAAAAATACGGTGCCAAAAAAATGCGGAAATGGTGTAAAAATAAGCAAAAACGGTGTGGTGCAAACAATTTGTGAACGCTGTGCAAAAATCGGTGTGTGAAAATAATACACAAACTGTGAGAAAATAATGCGAAAACCGTGTGAAGATAAAGCGAAAATGATGTGAAAAGGGTGTGAAAATGTTGGTACAAAAAACCTGCTCGTCAAGGCCGGATAGATTCTGCACAACGTCAGATCAGAGGCACAGAGCAAACACACTCTCAATGGATGTGAGTTGTGGTTGTGTACTGGGCCTATGTGTGTAGGGACTGAAATGGGCCACTGCGCACGTGTTGTGCGCATGGATCGTTTTTGTGTACAACCACGTGGTCGCCTAACTCCCTGTGGACACAATGCAGTACTGTACATTAATTCCTTTAACTACTTTTTCATCGATTTTTTTCAGGAATGGATAGGATTTGAGTTGCCTGAACTCCTCATGGAAAATTCTGCAAAAGAAGGTTAAGTTTTCAGGATGTTCGATCTGCTAAAAATGGGCATTAATAAAATGTGGCTGGGGGATGTTTTCGCAACTGTTTAGCAACATGTACATGTACTTGTGAACTTCATACTTTAAAATTGATTTTATTGGGGCTTGGGTTAATTTCCTTCTCAATTGGGTCAAAAGTGTTGACGTTTCGAGTTTGTGAAAAGTTTTTCCCGCTTGAGAAAAGTTTTCACACCTGTGAAAAGTTTTCACACTTGTGAAAAACAGGTGTGAAAATTTTTCCCACCAGTGAAACAAAGGTGTGAAAATTTTTGCCCCCAGTGAAACAAAGGTGTGACAATTTTTCCTACCAGTGAAACAAAAGTGTGAAAAATTTTCCCACTAAGGGGGAAATTTTTCATAGTTTGTGAAATGAATATTCATTTTCTGGGATGGGAAAAAATGTGAAAAATTTTCCCACTTCTGAGCTTAAGTTTCATTTGCACTGTACTGTACCTGCCAATACCTCTACCTACTAGTAAATGTAGTGTAAATGTGTACCTGTATAAAGTGTGCCAGGAAGACCTGATCCATGTACATGTACATGTACCCTCAGTTCCCTACCAGTAGGCCTACATACACTCTTGTACATCCATGCACAAATGTACAGATATACACATGTATGTTTGACAACCATGTTACAACTATGTACCAGTACCTAAACAAAAACATACATTTAAATTTTTAGTAGTACAGTATTTTACAAATTTATGCCGGTACCTGTGGAGACTCCCTATACTCTGTAGGAAACTCTTTTCCTTCTAGCGAGCAAAAGATCTACTCAAAGTCACACAATAAGCAGAATATGACAGCTCCACTGTTTGTGAGTGGCTGGGCTCTTCAATAAATCCTTGAAGGGCTACTAGAGGTACATGTAAACCTGCTCCCTTGACATTTTCTTTAATATTATCACTGCACATTTTTTTCACACTCTGAACCATACAATGTACAGCATTTTCTATTTTCTATATTGCAGTCCTTTTGACATCAATTATGTAAAAATCAGACATACCGGTAGTGTTCTTGCACAATGGCCATTTTCCAAAACAGGTCAGCCAAAAATCCATACTTTTCCTGTCATATTTAATTGAAGCTCAATATTTGTACTGATAATGAGTGTCCTTATACTGTATGTTGTGTACATACATGCTACCGGTAAGCTGCTGCTATTGACACCTTAATGCATGTACAGTACTGATACATGTACCTCCACGGTTCGCATCAATAAAGTTAAACCCATGAGAAACCAATCACCATTAAGTGCTTCTCCACACCGCGGCAGTCTTTTCAAGTTTCCCCGTTGGCATGGTTACTGACATCCAACCTCCCCTATGATCTGAACAGTCAGAAATGCCAGCTTTATCAAACATTGCCTGTGATTTCTGAGATGTCTGCCAACTGTTGGTAGCAAGCATGACAAATGTACACTGTAAAAATAGTGGTCAAAAAGAGTTGGGCCAAGCTCAATTATCCATATGGAGGTCATTTTTAGCGCTCATTTTCCTAAAAGTTTACCAACAGTTGCACGCTTTGTAACCAGAAGTAGGGAAGTTGGTCAAAATATGCTCAACCTTCATTACTGTTTATCGTACATGTTGCAGCTCAATTTTGTTGGTATAGAGTCCTTCCAGGGTCCTACTGGTAAGGCTGGATATGCATGCCAAATACAATTATATTCTACGGCTTAAATTTGCCAAAATCAATGGATATTTTATGAGTTTACGCGTAAAACAAATAAAGGTATACAATATCTCTAGCAAAGATAGGTATGGGTAAGTGTGATTTGCGTTAAAGTGTTTATACAAGGAGAAGGTCCAACTTACATCGATGTATGTTACATGCACATGTACGTACATGTGTCTACCAGTGCACATGTACATATTGTACATACACTGCAGTGTACATGTTCATGTCTATACAGTACCGCTACCTGTGAATTTCTACAGAAAGAATATCCCTTTTCCGAGGCAAATCAAACTCCCAACCTGCTAACATACATGTATTAATGTACATTGTACAACCTGGACCTAAGTATACACACCCAAACTAACGGCAATAGGACAAGCCTTACAGGCAGATGTTGGTGAGGACACATCGAAAATCCTGAATGTACCCCTACAAGGACAGTTAGCAAGTACCAGGTACATGTTTGGTACTTGTACTGCTATTCCATATTTATGCATGTCTCTGACCAAACATTAAAGTCTCCGCAACATTTGAGCCTCTCCAAGAAAAAACTTTCAAGGATGGACGATGAGAGGTGGTTCCACCTCCTGGGTGTAGTCTCAAGAAGTCTGTATCTAGGGGCGACAATAACAAGAGCATCCCAAACCACACTGACACTATGATCTTATTTGGTAAAGTCTTAGGCAACACTCACATCCTGTACGTTGTGGTACATACTGAACACGTACACAGGAAGTGTACACGCATACAATTTTAGGCCTGCTAGTGTCATGTTACCGGGATAACTGATTATTGAAGAAATCAGAACAGCCCAGTAATACAATACACACCAAACCCTGAAGGGAGAAAATCCAAAAGACATCCCAAACAACTCTATATCTAAATTGGATGTGGGAAACCAGATAAAACTCCAGGGCCGTTTTGTTTTGAGGAAAACATGAGTTTACAGAAGATAGAGTAGACATGTTATGTTTGGAATGTCATGGGCTAACACAGTATGTCATCTACCAGTAATCTTTCCACGGCCATGAATAGTAAAGAGGAGCAACACTGCACCACTGGATTGGATACAAACATGGAACACAGGGGAAACTTTCAGTTCAGTTCCTGAAAGCGATGCTTCTGACCTTCCAAAAAAGCCAAACGTGATCCAAAATTCACTTTTGTGAGCGGGAAGTGGGGAGGAATTACAAAACGTTGGGAAAGGTATTCAAACAACTTCCAAGAGGCAGTCAGGTACATGCATTTTTCTTGCTGAAAACTGTTCATTATAAATTTCTCATATAAAATTCATGTACTCTGAACAGCTGCAGTAAACACAGGAAAGAGGTGGAGCTTGCTTAATGCTTTGCCGCCTGTGTTATGCACACACTGTACACTCACACTGCTTTGGGTAGCCAAATTAACTCGGTACACATAGATTCTTCTTGGAATTAAAAAATTCACATGATCACTTCTGCACCAAATTTTTCATTACAATTTTATTCTAAATTTGCACACTAAAGACTGATTAACTTTCATGTAGATTCGTTTAGTTCATCTTGCACCATCACCAAAACTACCCAGAGCCTCAAGGGAGAGCAGATCTTTTATAACTGACGGGACTACCCCCCACCAAATTGATAAAACGCTTTGCACAGAAATCAAATAAGCATTAAAAAGGCAAACTACATGTACCGTAGACCTGAGAATGAAGTGTCTAGCAACAATTTATGGATACATGGGGTGCAGAATGCAAAGGTGCCAGGGTGGAGTGAAATTTGGACTCTGAAAAGGCTCATTGGCTACATTTTGTCTGTCCGCATACATGTACATGATAAATACCTGTAAATAGGTCAGTGATTGTTATGCATGAGGGTTGAGCTCCATAAAATAAAATTCAAAAATTCATATATTATACATGTACAACAAGGAAAATGTCTAAAATCAATTGACAGTTTCATAAACATGTTACAACAAGTACACATGTACATGTGTACATACATGTATAGTGTACATGTAGCACCAGTATGTTAGGTGTGCCATTAGTCATGAGCCTAGAGTCAGCTTTCCATCTTTTTCAGTTCTTCAACATGACAGGGACCATCCTATGAGTAGTAAACTTACCCCAAGGAAGATATTATTGGAGGAATTGAAGCCAGCTGCATAGATTCTGGCAGCATGAGGCGGGTCTCTATCACAGATGATACGACAGGCAAACCTTGATATCGTACTCTCTGCTATTGTGCACTCTTCCTGCGACTTGGCGCCAGGTACCGTATCCATGACAACAAAATCAATGACAGGCTCTGTGGAGCGGCCAATCTAAATAGTTCAAGATACAGACAGGAGGAAAACTATTGCCAGCCAAGTTTCTGTTGAGAAAACTTTGAATTCTATTTCCATAGACAAGAGAATGAGAGCCTTGGAATGGGTTTCTCAATGTTGGATTGCCTTCTTTGATGTTTCTAGCAGTCTTAAGCAATTCTTAAAAATGGTCATTTAATTTAAAATTTCCTGTTTTGAATTACAAACTGTGGCCCAATCACAAGTGCTGCTAGTATTTCTGTTTTCAACAAAAGAAAACACATTTTTTCATACAATTTATTCTGTAAATTCTAATTTTGGCAGCTAGAAATAAAACGAAACACAAAAGTGCATTTCTCTTCTAAAATTTTGTCAAAGTATGACTTTGACCCAACATGGGAAGGAAAAATAATTTCCTGACCAATTCTTAAACTGCATTTAACAATTCTTAGGTAAGCTCCACTTACAGAAACTTTGAGTATCTTCCAATGAAAAAAAAATCAAAACCATATTTCTCCAAGAAACTGTAAGTTTATAAAACCCCACTTCATTTCAGCCACTGCATGCATTTGCAGTTATTGAAATATCCCTATAATCAATTTTTCCTTACAGATGGTAACAATAATACAAGAGAGCCAACTATTAGCAACATAAAAATTTCAAATTCCTGTGCCCCTAAGCTCTGCCTGAGGGTGTGTTATTTAGAAGTACATGCACTTTGAGATCATGATTAATTAATATTAAAGTGTGAGTTAAACAATTACAAAATAACTGAGGGACCAGCATTTAACAAAAATCTGATGAACCATATGGGTCAATGAACATGGGGGGGCTAATTATTTGCAATTCTAATTATTTGATGATTATTCAACAACCAGATAATCACATAATCTTGTGGTAAGAAATGGACCATCTGCAAGACTGACCTGGAACATGTCTGTATTGCTGTCTGATGAATATTCAACAACCACCGTCTGATGCCTTGATAATGTGTAGGCTATTGTGTGCTTGCCTTTCTTGGGACTTTGCTAGGGGAAAAGAAATTTACACATGTCTGAATTTACAGTATTTGCTCCAATTCAAAGCCAAGTTTCTGGCAGAAAAAAATAAGAATTCCTTAAAAGAGCACAGGCACTGCAGACACAGAGAGAAAACAAAGAAGAAATCTTCAGTTCTAGAGGTGGGAGGAAAACCCTATAATAATGAGATGTGAGTTCAAATCTGCAAGTTACCACTGTCATGCAGATGAGGGTGTAAAGCACTGAGCAGCCTCAGTAATACTAAGCAATGGATGGAAATGCATGTACATGTACTGGCAGTCCGAAGCATTTATGGAAGCTGGAAGTGAGTGACTTTGTGTACATGTAGTTTTCACAGACGAATGAGTTTATGCCTCAGTTGTGGTCAAGTCCCGGTAGTTAGGCCACAGCTTACACGTGGAAATGTACCGGTACCATAGGCCATTTCCAAAACCTAGGATTCTTGTATGGCTTTGGCCCAATCTTAATCTCTGACAGGGGAATTGTTCAGAAATCTGTCATGACTGCATGTATTCCAACTGAGAGTGTTTTTAATGTTGGCTTCATGTTATAAGACAGGATGTTGCTGAAGCAGAACGCTTGTCTGTTCATGTACATGTATGCACTGCACCAATATACTGAGATGAAATCCCTACTTTTGAGGACCTAAAAATCCCTGGAGACTAAGCTGGGAAAACAAGCTTTAGAGTACAAACCAAAGATGGCATTTGCAAAAGATTGACTGTATTGGAAGGATTTTATGGTTTTTCTTTAATTTGTTTCCCAAAAGAAAGCATTTGAAATGACACTGAAACCTGAGTATGAAGCTGCAGCCAGCTGACTCAAAGATATGTGTACATGTCATATGGCCCAGACTTCAACAGGAGGTACAGGAAGCCAGGTTAGTGCTTAACTCTTGCCAGTACCATATCTAGGCTGGTTCACATGTCACAGGTGCTCCTTCTACATGTACCTTACAAACATGCATTCACTACATGGGTACAATGCACTGACAGGTGATGTTCCATTTATCTTAATTGGTGAGCACTCTCGAGTACATTATACACACATACATGTACCTGTCCTCCTTTCTGAGGGCCAACTTCATACTGCCTGTCTGGCTTGACGCCATTCGCTGTCTCTCTCTTGAACAGACCAAATCGACTCCGCCGTCTACCCCGGTTGCCGGAAGGCAAACAACCATTGTACCTGCATGACCAAATACAGAATGTGCCAATTTAAAAACTTTCAAAAACACACAGGTCTGTATACTGAGGCAAGATACACACGAGTTTATTTCTATAGACAATAAATACCTTCACATTGTGCACAAGTACACATACATGTACATACATGTACATAGTAGGAGCAGTGGTCAGTACG